ACAGTCCATGGGATCGCAAACAGTCGGAGATGACTGAGCAACTTCACTGGTTCAAAATGTGGATAACAAGTTCCATTTGCTTGCTGTCCTGCATAACCTGACCTGGGAGCCAATGAAAAAAAATGAAAAGATTCGACCCTGGGAAGAGACCCTTGATTCAGTGGTTCTCTGCCTTTGCTCTGGCCCACATATCCAAGGGACAGGGATCCAGGACACCCTGGTCAATGTCAGAGGGCTAATCAGGGGCGGGGGGAGCGATTCTCCAAAAGAGAGAGGCAAGGAGAGGAAGGGGCTTCAGTCTCAAACCTGAAGGTCTGTGTAGTTTCTAAAAGCCCCCTCTCCATGATTCTGATACATATAAGCCCCACCCCTCAAAGATGATAGAATCATGCAGCCCTATTTTACAGATGTGAAAACTAAGGTCCAGAAAGGAGAAGTGAGTGGGGAGTTAACAAAAGAGCTGAAAAGTCAACTCCAGGCCTCTGGGCTCTTTGAGTTCATGCACCTTCCACTCTCCAGAGCCTTAAACATAGCTGGCTGTCAACAGATATTTAATAAACAAATGAAATAAGGACCCAATGTTTGCATTCATTTAACAAAATAATCCCCTGGGTTACTGCAATGGTTCATATCCTGGGGTCCCTGGACCCCCAGCAGAACTCAAAGTTACTGATGGGGGCAGGGGAAGATGGCAGCTAGTTTCAGAACCTCAGAAGGTCCAACAGGACTAACAGTTTATCTAGGCCCAGGCTGCCTACAACATTGACTTTCTCTGCTTTGGGCTGGAATTGGATCATCTAGAGTTAATGATGTTGGTTCTCAGGTCAACCATGATTCCTAACTGCAGTTTGTTTCTGAGGAATGAAGACAGGCCCATGAAGTCTTCCTAACCAAACATAATCTGTTTCAGAGGCTGTTTGTCAAAAGATAGAGCTGGTAAGATGAGAAATCATTTTAAAAGCATCTTTGGAGGAAAGACTGCTGGTGACTATGGGTCTTCTGGAGGGGTCACCACCCAGCCTCAGCTACCTGCAGGCTTGATTTCCTGCCTGTATATTGCCTTTGGTATTTCATATAAAATATTGGCTTTGGGTTTAAATCTTGACCCTACAGATAACTTACCATTCTTTGCTGGAAAAAAAAAAAATCAAGATTTAATCAAATCTCATCATTCCCTTTCTCACCAGCCACCCCCACTATGAGGGCCACTGCTTGACCCTGCCTTGGGCAAAAATTATAGCCAAATATTGATCATATTCAGGCCAAAAGTAGGGCACAAATGGGGTGAACAGGGACAGAGGCCCTAACTTCCAACCCCTGTGCTCGAAGGAACATGTGTCCCATACAGACCAAAAAAAGAATTGGCTTTATTGCTAACAATAACAGACATTTCCCAGCAATTTATGTTACTTATATATACTCCTTTATGTATTTTGTATCTGTTATAAACATATACCATCTATTACATTTATTTTCACATACACTGTCATGTATCATTTTCACATAGATAGTGTTAGGTACATAGTAAGCATCTAATAAATGCAAGTTAACTGACTTGCTTTGAGGATGTCATAGCGGGACTCTCCTGGTGGCGCAGAGGTTAGGACTCTGAGCTTCCACTGCAGGCAGTTCAGTTTCCATCCCTGGTTGGGGAACTATGATCCCACATGCCCCGTGGTGCAGTGAAAAATAATAAAGATGCTATAACAAAAATTCAAATCAGTTAAGAGCATATCCTTAATAACAGATAAGGAAGAGTCTTCAGCAACGAGGAAGAAAATTCACACTAAAACACAGGGAGCTTGGAATGGATTTTTCTTGATATAAGGAGGGAAAATAAACTGGTCCAATCACTTTTATTTCCATATCATTTGGTCTCCATGGACACCATCTAACTTTTGACAGAAAGAAACTTACTAACAATATTAGATGTCTTGTTAAATATTTTAATGCTCTACATAAAATAGTTATTCTGTATTTAATTCCTTACCATTCCCTATATTCTCTCAGAACAAGTAAAATCACTTCTTGCTAAAAATTCTCTAAAAGAAAGTCAGAGTTTAATCCACAGTCATGATTCCCTGACTTTTAAAGTTAAGAATGCATGCGTGGTTAGTCGGTCAGTCCTATACAACTCTTTGCCACCCCATGGACGGTAGCCCCGCCAGGCTCCTCCAGGCAAAAATACTGGAGTGGGAAGTTAAGAACAATCTGATAGACTTCTGAAGGTGAATGCCTTAGCATTTGTAGACTGCTCTAACTTAGGCAACCTTCTTTCATAACAGTATCTTATTTGTTCCCAAAAGCAACCCCATCAGATATTCAGTTACATTCGACTATCACCTTTCATAGAACTCACCCCTAAAGGTAATTACTGTATTTATTTTTTGGCTAGGTATTTTCAGCTCACCAACTAGAATGCAAATTCCCCAAAAAAGTAAAGAAACTCCCTTCCTGTTCTCAAACTCACAGAACCCAGCACTGTGTCTAGGACATAGTGAATGTTCTATGGATACTTATTAAATGAATAAAGCCTCTTATCTGCTTTAAGTGTTTTTCTGGTATGAAGCACAGAACAGAACCATGTCCCAGATATCCCATTTAGAGTTCACTGGTCTGTTCACCATCAAAAGGAACGTTTTGTGAAAATGCTCTAAAAACAACGAAGCTTATATGCCATGACACCAAGAACAGTGTCCTTGGAGACATGAGAAAATTGATGCACATCAAACTCCCCAATGTTAAATGCCCGAAGTTTTAAAGTTTCCACTACTTAGTTCAAACATCTTGAACTAGCTTTGGTATACTGAATATTTGCCTAATGAAGTATACGGGAAAACAGAGGAAGAGAGAGACTGGGTCATGGTTCACGGAGCTGTCAGGACTTCGGTTCACCATAATCGGTCTCCAATTTAGCCACACACCCTTACTTTGGATTATCATAACACTTTAACAGGTAAGTAAGTCTGAAGTGTGCAGAATTATCTCTAACTTTTGAAGGACAAAAGAAAAAAAAAACCCAACTCATTGAGAATGAAAAATGTAGATGTTTAATATTAAGAAGCAGTTACAAATCAGAACAGACAAGAGCTCGGATCCAGGAGGCCAAAATCTGACTTCTTACACAACAGGCTGTTATAAATTATAACCATTCACTAATTCTGGACTTTGCCCTATCGATCAATACATTTTTCGAGGTATTAAAAAATACCAAATGAAGTCCTCAATATTCCATCTACTGAAGTTTCCTTAGAAAACACAAGTTTTCCCAGAATTTTGTCCTTTCCCTCTCCGAAAAAGGAGTGATGGGGTAGGGTGAGAAAAGGAGAAAATCCTGAGTGCGGGTGCACGAAGGTAAATAGGGGTCACCTTCCAGGTCGTGGCAAGGAGCTTGCATCTGCCTAACGTCAAGACCATCAACCTTCCGTTCCAGGTTGTCACCAGGCCCCTCTCAGTACCTGCCCTTAAGCACCAAAAAGCAAAGCGCACGCTGCCGAGTCCTCAATGTTATCTGCAGTCGGTCTGAAAACTCAGAAACGAATGCAGGCTTGACAGCAACCTTGGTGATTCCTGAAAATCCACAACAGGAAATGTAACTCTCCTCCACCCTCCCTCGCCATTCATCAAAAGCAGACCGAGTCACAGCGACCGGGAGGCCGGTGGCAGAGGGAAGATGCCAGCACTCTTCTGAACCGAGGACCAGGCGCGTTTACCGTTGCCCACACTGGAGGGAGGAGGCTGGAGAGGGAGGGAGCGGGGAAAATGTCCCCAAGTTCCAAGTTTTCCTTTAGGGGCAAAGACGACCGAAAACCACGCCGCCAGTACGTGGCCACCTCCACTGCCAGTGCCAAGGGTCACACTTATAGGGGTCCCGCCGACACCGGCTGACGTCGGCGCCTCGCCAGGTGCCCGGAAGGCTGTTTCTGCGCCCGGTTCGGGCTGCCAGCCTCTTTCCCGCTTCTTCCACTCTAAAGGNCCCGGGACTCTCCGCCCGAGCCCCCCCCACCCCAGCCCCGCGCGAGGACAAGTGCAGCGACAAAGCCCCAGGGCCAGGCCGGACGCTGGCCGGCGGGAAGGAGGACGCCGCGTCCCTCCCGGGCGGTGGCGACAGCGGCCCAGCCCCCAGGAAGCCGGGCGCGCCGGCCAGGCCCCGCGAGCAACCCCGATCGGAACCCGCCCGCCCGGCCCCCGACCGCTGGCACCCGATGCCCGCGACCCTTCCCCGAGCCCCGAGGGTGGGCGAGCCCCGGGGACCGCCACCGGGCGCCCCATGAAGTTTCCTTCGGCCGCGGCGGGAGGCGCCTCTCCTGGCCCGGGCGCGGGGCGCAGGCTGCGGGCGGACGGCGGGTTCCTGCCTATTTACGCCAGAGGCTGCCTGGAGAGAGGCGCCGCCGCCGGGCGCCGAGAACTACCCGCTCCCCTCCTTCGGATCTGGTGGCGCCGGCATCTGTAAACACACACACACACACACACACACACACACACACGCACGCACATACATGCACGCGATCATGTTGTTTTTAAAAGGAGGCCCGACTCCAGCGGACCTGCTCCCCCACAAACAACACCTGGGGCGCAGGATCGCACAGAGCAGGTCTGTGTCCATGGAGCCAGCTCTCCGCATCTGCAAATCCAAAAGTGAAATTAAACCTCCACCAACCTCCTCCTCCTCCTCCTCCTCCTCCTCCTCCTTGCAGCCTCAGCAGCAGCAGCAGCAGCAGCAGCAGCAGCAGCAGCAGCAACCGAACCTGCTTCCCCTAAAACCAGATGATCCATAACAGCGCCGACTGTTCCTCCAAAAATCAGTATTAATATTTATGAACCTCAGCATTTTCCGTCTGCAAAACATCGTGTCAAACCATCAGGACGCGCGCGCACACACACACACACACACACACAGACACACACACACACACACACATCCCCTCCAGTCCTCCTAAACATGCCCTCGAGAAAAACACACACGCACAGTCCCAACTATTATTTGAAAAAAATGTTACCTCTCAGAGTGCTTTTTTCACGCTACCAATACAATTCCGCAAGGCTTAAGTGTTGCTAGGGTGTGTGAAATGGAAATGAAAGCCCGTCAGTTGAATAATCGCAGGAGCAAAACTAAAAGTTACTCCCCGGCTTGCCTGAGAACAGTCCAGATCGAAAGCAAAACAAGGAGAGGAAACTGCGAAGCGCCGCGGCTGGAAATCCCCCCGCCCCCCGCCCTCCCGACGACCCGAAGGTCGGGAAGGAGGGAGGAGGCTGGCGGCTCCTGGAAGCAACGCTCTAGCCATCCGGTCGGTGGGGTAGGTGTTTACAGCCTGTTTTCCGAGTGAGTAAAACTTCACTTTGCAGCACTGCCCACTTCCAAGGAACACAAGAAGCAATGAACTGACAAGACAGCATTACTTAGATACTGGTGCGCTACCTGGGCCCAGCGGCGCGTCCTTAACCTTATTTGAACCCTTATCAGTTGCTGAGGGTGTAACCATTTCGGGGGCTGCTGTCATCTGGGACCCTGCCCCGGGGCGATAAGGAAGGCCCTCCGCCCCCCGCCCCCCCAGCCTGAGTTTGCCACAGAAGTTCCCTGCCTGCAGCTAAGATGGGCAGGGGTAAGAGCAGATTTTCCTGAAAGATGTCTTACCGTGGCTGGACCGGGAGACAGGTTTATAATGGAGTACTTCCAGCCAGGTTCTGATTTGGCCTCTTTAACTTACTACCTGGCATTTCCCAATCAAGTTGCTTAACCTAAGGCCTCAGTCTTCAATGCCCTGAAATGGGGATGATTTAGAAAATGCAAGAATACAGGAGCTGCACCAGTTCCCTTCAAAGGGTGTTAGCTCAGACTAACACAGTTCACTTGGGACCTGTCGCTTTGGGGTCCCTTGCTTTAAAATACAGATTCTCGTCTGGTTATATCTGTTACTTCCCCCACATGCAGTTTCATTGGCCTTCTCCCAAATATCTCTCCCCTCACACAGGAAGTCCCTTCTTGGGGGGCCATAGCTACATTTATGTAAATACTTACTAAAAACAGCTCCAGCAGTCCTCTTTCACAGAAGTATTCAGTGCAAGTAAAAGTATCTAAGTATGCTTTTTTTTTTTTTTCATTTATTTCTACCAGTTGGAGGCCAATCACTTTACAACATTGTAGTGGGTTCTGCCATACATTGACATGAATCAGCCATGGATTTACATGTATTCCCCATCCTGATCCCCCCTCCCACCTCCCTCTCTACCCGATCCCATGTGTGGCCAGGAGAGAAGGGTTTAGGATTCTGCTTTGTGGCTGTGGTCCCAGAAACAGATCTCCCATACTCTCTGTTACTTTTTATCCTCTCTCATAGAATACTATTTGCTACAGTCACTGACTTTCTTATTTCAGAAAGCAATGACCGAGATAGATGGTTAGAGTAACTATATACAAACTCTGTAGAATTTTCGTCCCTCTTTACCCACCCGGTGGACCCAAGTAAGAAACCCCATGGTGCTTAATGTTTTCCTTCCTCCCAACACACCACCCATCATATGGACCTGTTGATGCTGATCCCAAGTATCTCTGGCCCCAGCCCCTCCTCCACCCCTCTGCATCCCCTTCACTCAGTTATGGCAGTGGCCTGGGGACTAGGCTTCCCGCTCAAACTCGAACCCCTCTGGATTAACAATCAGGTTAAGCAGAAAATCAACTTCAGGCGAAGCACAATTCCAGACCTAACCCCCCCCCCCCCCCCCC